TTATTATTTTTTTTTTCAATAATAACGGGGTGCTGATTAACTGAGTAATATGATTGCATTCTTTTTGCTCTCTTTAATAGAGGCAAAAATCAGCAATGAATTCTGAAGACGAGACGAGTTAATATCATTAGGATTACCTATAGATTCTGTTGATTATTTTTGCTAATCGGATCTGGCCTTCCCTGGGCCAATCAGAGTTCAGTATTCAATAAGATGAAGTACTTCCCAATTAAAATTACAGCGGTTATTTCCCCCTAGCTTTTGATCATTTCCCTCTAGCTCTGCAATTGTTTCTCTAACCAAATAATTGTCAAATATTATCCTGTAGAGTGAAAGAAAGTCGGGATAAGTTTTGCACAAAAATCTCTTGCGCTGCTAATCTGCAAAACTTCCCCCTCTCGTTGCTACGCAACAAAACAATCCGAAAATACTCGATAATTTTGGAGCTCTCGTGGTATTACTACTGAATATTTTCCTGGTGATGCAACGTAGAGAAATTTTTGTAAAAAAATCCTCGGCAGTTTATGAATTTCTTTGTACTCTGCTATAGACATTTACCAAAAAAATTATTTTTTCACGTTAGGTCTGATTATTTACGTTTTGCGATTTCACAACGCCAGGGATAATGAGGCGCGAATAGCACATGAAAAGAGTTCTCAACTAATATTACAATTGTTTATTGGTTTTTTTCCAGTTCAAAATGTATTCAGAATAAACTTTTCACTTAACACTATTTTTCTTGTTTGGTTTGGAATTTTTTTAAACTATTTATTCGAGCAATCGATCGATTTTTAGAATCAATTAGGTACTTTTGATTATCAGATTCGAAAAATCAATTTATGTATAATTTTTGGTTTATTTTTCTTTTAGCTCAGTACATATTTGAATTTGAAATATCCGCGGTTTTTTTTATAGTTTCTACATTGTGGCGTTAGAGTTCTCGGTGGGATCCAATGGCCGAAAGGTATGTGATACCCCCACCGAAGCTACTGGGAATATGGCGTAGTGTTTATTTCCTTCTCAACAATCCCGCCAAAGTGAACGAACGCATTTACTAATGCGAAATTTTGCGGCTATTTAATTAAAAATTACTACTGTTTTGCATTGTTTACGGATTGAGGCATATCGGGTTCATCATTAGGTAAGTAATTCAAGTCAATAACGTTATCTGCTACTTCAATTTCATCATCAAATCCCACTGCTTGTCACGGTTAATGTTTGTGTCGCCATTGTTTTTCGTATCTGCCCATCAATTTATTGGCTAAAATATTTCCTCCTCAACATCATTAAAGGACAGTTTTGTTTACTCTTAATTCAGTAGTTGGAGAATCTCTACTGGTTGATTATTATTCTGTCCCAAATCATATTTCAATGGTGGGAAGGGTGCCGAAATTTGAGGTAAAACATTTTGTTTGTTGATCGCGCAAACCAGGTTAGAATGCCTGTTTTTGATGAGAAATGTCAAAAGAACTTTTTTCTGCCTGATGACATCCTTCTCAAAAAAGATCTTTTTATTGAATCCAATATAATATCTCATTACCGCGAAAAATTATCGAATAATTGGTGGTGAAATGATACCCTCCGAAAACAGAATAAGTTGAAAAAATTTAATCCGAGAATGAATTGTTCTTGAGATAAAAATGTCACTGATTTTTTGGGCCAATTAAATTTTCTATAGAAAAAGTCCGTTTGAAATTGTCGTTCCATTATCACTGATCGGGAATATTTGAAAATGAATGAACCTTCGCAAATTTAAGGAATATTTGGGGCATAAGATAATGTGCGACTAAATGGCAAGAGACTTACAGTGATCAGATGTAATTTATATGAAATTATATTGATTTTTCCACTCATTTTGGTTATTCATTGGAATAGTGACATGCCAACCACTTCACAAGATTACCAGCAATGAAACTACATTGCAAATCGAACGGAATCAAATGGATTTTGATGATTAGTCATTTATAGACTAGAATTATTATGTTTCAATTTCAGTGCAGCCTCTCACTATATATGACACATTGAATCAATCGTTTTGAAATATGTATTCACGAAAGTGGCATTCACTAATGCACAAAGCAGGGAAAATAGAATCAAAGAGGTCGAATTTTAGGAATGATTTTTCAATTTCTATCTTTTTATTTTTATTTTTTACCCTATGCAGAAGAAGTTTGAATTGGTTCAGCACAGTAACACATATCGTTCAGATATTTGTCGAGGCAAGTGAATCTGAAGGCTAAATCAGAAGAATAAATGGGAGTAAATCAAGATCAATTGGGATCACTGGCCTCCTCCCCTAAGCGTCTATAATGTTAATACTATTGTCCGATAATTTTAGTAAAGATCAATCTATTTTGGGTCATTCATTATAATTTACTCCACGTTCCTGAGGAATTTTCCCATTGCCTCGATCATATCTTCCATTGCAATGATTCACTTCAAGACCAGACGTTCTCGGAAACCGGAGGCAGCTCTCTTACAGGTTCATAGGCGGCGTCTAGAACCCATGGAAGAAGCTGCACGTCGTAAACGACAACAAGTACAGTCAGACTTCTGTCGTGTGGTCCCGGTTGATCTGAATATCCCTTCTACATCTGTGAACGATAATATTCCCAGGGCAGTCGACTCTCGGCGAAATAGCTCTGCTTATCCCAGTACGAATGGGACGAGAAATTTTTTGTTAATTCCACCAATTCCTCCAGCGATGAAGCATCTCTCACGTCACATGAAAACCGTGACGTGAATCCTCCCCCCCAAGCCAATATTGAGAAGGTTGAGAATCGGATCGTGCATGATCATGCATGATCCGATTCTCAACCTCCATAATGTCGCTAAAAATTCGACGGTAGATTTCCGTGAGGATTTAAGAAGAGTATGTGTAGGCACAAAAATGAATCATATCCACATTAACGCAGTTCTGGGAGTAATCCGCACACATGGATGTTTATACCACATGCCTAAAAATGTTCGAGCGTTATTGGAGGCAGCTCGAACATCCACCCCCTTAGATCTCATCGCTGGAGGTAAATATCTTAATTTGGGTATTAAACCCGCTCTCATAGCAACTTTTGAAACAACCCCCCCTGAATTAATTCCAAATCATTTACTGATTGACTTCAGGACTGATGGTGCTTCGTTGGATAGTCAATCGAAAATAAATATGTGGCCTATACAACTCAGAATTGCCGATATTCCCAGGTCCAAACCAGAAGTAGTCGGAATTTGGCAAAGCATGGAGGACTCCAAGCCGAATAACTCGGAAGAATTTTTCAGGCTTTTCATAGACGAATTTCTATCAATGTTTGATGATGGTGGTTTCCAGTGGAGAAATCAGATAACAACCGTGGAGATAAGATGTTTTATTGCGGATTTGTCGGGTCGCGCCTTCTCACTCGGTCATGTTAATCACAAGGAATGATTCCCGTGTTCAAAATGTTGGGTTGTAGGAGAATGTCCCCGTCATGGTGTTACAATTTTCCGTGGTATTAACCACCCCCGTCGTACGGATGAAGAATATGCTAATCAAGTCGATGGGGAATATCACAAAGATTGGCCTAGTCCTCTGCTCTGTCTTCCCATGAGCCTTGTCACGCAGACGGTTTTCGATTATATGCACGTCGTTTGCTTGTGTACTATGCAAAAAATTTATGCTTCAATGATTGACGGTAAATATGCTCATCGCCTCAAACTCTCGCCACATTCTATCCAAATACTCTCCACTCGTCTTAAACAAATAAGCTCCTTCTGTCCATCAGACTTCGCACGGAAACCCCAAAGAATGGAAAAATCCGGGAGTTTCCAAGCTACCGAAAATCGTCAAATTCTCCTATACAATGGTCCAGCTTTCTTCTACGGTATCATGAGTGAAGATCAATATTTCCATTTCCTGCTTCTATATACCGCCATTCGTATTTTTGTCAGCTTGAATCTCTCTGAAGCTCATTTACAATTTGCAGAGAGGGTGATAGAAATTTTCATCAGTACAGCCAAAGAAATTTATAGCGCTGAGTTCCTCTCATATATAATTCACGCATAGTTGCACCTCATAGAGGATGTCCGAAGGTTTGGACCGCTTGATACTTTCTCCATGTTCCCGTACGAGAATAATATGAGTATTTTCCGATACTCCTGTCAAAAACTCGACCAGCATCTACAACAAATCGTGAATAGAAGAGCTGAAAGAAAAGCAGCAGGTATTGACAGTTCGCCGATCCCTCCACCAACAATTCAGCCAGGGCGACGATGGCAAGAGAATCTGCCCGCTTCGTTTCCAAGAAACTGTATTCAGTACTCTTCTGTTGACTACAAGTCCATTCATATCTCTATAAATAATCGAGATAATACAAAAATGTTGCAAGATTTATCTATCTGTATTATTCAGAACATTATAAACATCAATGGCGATTATAAATTCCTCGTTCAGCGATTCCAAAATGTAAATGATTTATTCAATGTGGGTTGGCCTTCTTCATCCACTGGAGTATTCCGTTGTTCTTTATTGCAGGATGGGACTTCTGTTGTCGATGTACACTTCATAAAGGCCAAGTGTTTTCGAATGCCATACTGGCACTCTGAGGGTCATCACGACCCTATTCCTGACGTATTCATAGTAGCTACCATCCTGTGGTCAGATAATTAATTGTCTGATTATTTCTTAGAGTCATACTGCTTTTTTATTAATTTTTTTCAGATGAATCCGTTACCTCGGGGAAGAGCAAGGGGGAGAAGAGAAGGAAGAGGTGGAGCAGGAAGATGTGAAGCAGGGAGAGGCAGAGGATGAGGAGCAAACTCTGGAGTTAGAGGAAGAGGCAAAGGACATGCTCATAAAGAAGTAGGTGCTGTAGATGGAGACGTCGCTTTAGCCCACATGCGCAAAGAGGTATCAGGCCTTCGAGTGTTGCAACCCGAAAATACTCCTTCTTCTGGATTTACATCTATAGCTGTGCCAGCAAAATCAGCGATGAATAAAGTGCAAGCTTCTTCAGAATCATCCTTGAATAATGGCACCCCATAGAACACCCCAAACCAAACATTCGAGCCCGCAGACTCGTTCAACACATCAGAAATCTGTCCCCATAGTGAAAAGTATACAAGAAATTCCCCCGTTCCCGAAACTGCATCCGATCACAGTGCGAGGGGCAAAAACTTCATCTACACCCAGACAACATCCCTTTCAAGTTGAAGACCTGAATTTCTCCAATTTTCCTACTACATCCACAACACTAGCTCCTTCGACATCTCCCATGAACACGTCCACTTCAGCTCCAGTCCCTAAGAAACCTCTACCAAAGCAGAATGTCCCATTACCACCATCAGTACAAGTGCTTTCTACGCGCGAGGAAGAGGCGCTCGTTCCACCTCCACCCCCAAACGCACCTGTTGCTATGATGAAGAAAATTAAAGCTCAATCTACCGTCGAAGCGACTCCTAGCCAGAAAGGGCCCGTTGACTCATCGTTAAGCGCCCGCACACCTCGTTCTACGAAAACGAATATCCAACCACGAGATTTCCTTCAAGGGATGCCTACGAGCAAGAATGAGGCCCTCGACTCATTGTCAGTCGACCAGACACTTTCTTCAAAGAAGAAAGCATCACTTTCTCTACCTAAGGTGATCCCCAAGCACCAGAGCAAAGCCGCATCGTTAACACCAAAATCACCTAATCCACAGAAAAAAATGGTTAACTCATCTTCAGTCACAGTAGGTCCTATTCTGGGAGATAAAAGCATAAAACAAACACCAGTAACTCCTGTTCCCCAAAAAAGTATCGAGAAGCCACCTTTGGTTCCAGCGACTCCACCTCAGGACAGTTCAACATCAAACAAACATGCAACCCCTCAACAAATCCCATCACTTACCGGTGTAAATTCTCGCATATTCTCCCCCACGCCACGTGATGAGACAGTCACATTGACAATGCTACAGGGCTTACTTATGTAAGTATTATGTGAGTCTGTTTGTACTAATATTTCAATATTATTGCATCAATTGGCTCTCATTTTTTAGGGACCTCTTGGAGGGTCAGCATCGAGTGGAGAGGAAGACCGAGTAAGTTTTACAGCCATATGATGAATCATCCGTGATATAACTGTCTCATTTTTTTAGAGAAGTCTTGGAGAGTCAACAGCGACTGGAGAGGATGACCAAGTAAGTTTTACAGCCATATGACGACTGATCCACAGCATAACTATTCACATTCACTGGTTTACAGCTCCAATTCTAACGACATCAAACGTCTTCAACAGCAGTTGACTCGTAGTACCGACAATCGTCCTGACTGTCTGCCTTTTCGAACAGTGGAAGACTTCAGAGCTTTCTAGCTGGTCGATGATACCAGTTATAATGATGTTAGTATTTCATTTCTCATATAAATATTTCCTACAATCATTTGCTGAAGATGAATCCATCTCTCCAAGTGTTGCGTGGAAGGGCAAGCATGAAGGTCAACTTTCGGTGGAATCGAGCAAATTCGCAAAAGCATGTAAAGGTCTGTTACCATAATCCAGTAGCTAGATAATAGTTTACACTATTTAATTCTTGATTCGGTTCTTGATTACATTTCTATATATGTGGGAAATAGTACCATACCCTCACAGATCAGACAAGAATCGCTACAAATTGTTTTTATAAAATTTGAGTAGTAATGTAGAGATTGTCAAAAATTAGATGTCAAAGTTCACTTCAGTTAATTCGTACAACCTCTCAACTACTTTCATCCTGTCACCATTGCCATAATTATATTGCATGATTCCCATTTCAGAGGCAATGGGAATGAGTTCGAGATTCGCAGTCCCTTTGGCTGATGAATTCCGCGATGTCATGGAAAAAGAGTTGAAATCCATGAAAACAAGGAAGTGGCGTAAAGTTCACAAACGGAGAAGAGAGGAGGAGGAGGAGGAGGATTATGGGAATATTCAACAAGAAGTCCAACGTCGTAGGATTGATTCAGATGCAAATAATAAAGATAACATTCAGGAAATAGACCCAGACGCCAGGAGTGAATATTCTGGACCACAGAACAGGAAGACGAAGAACCGGAGAACGAAGAACAGGAAAACGAATCGATACGAGACGACGAAGACGCAGATGACGCGGATCAAGATCGCAGTGAGCCAGGAGAAGAGGTCATTGAGGGATTGTGTCTTATGGAAGAAGACTTGTACGACGCTTGAGCTTTTCATTCATTTACCAATAGTTGTTGAAATGTGTTAGTGCTTTGATTTTTTTTTCTGGGATTTCGATAGAATTCGTGATTTATTACTGTACACTGATTGGATTTTGCGCACTTCATTGTATTCAATTTGTTTATACTCTATTTCAGCGTATACCGGTTTTGGGGAGTGAAGGTAATGGTTGCACTCCACAGGAACGGGCGTGGGTTGGAGCCCTTTCTATTAAAAAAACCTCAATAAATAATACTCTCCATTCTTTCTTACAGAGTGGAACACTTTGAAATATGAAAGTGTGTGTCGTTGTATCCTGTGTGACAGAGGGTTGGTTGAAACTCATTTCGCCTCAATAAATCAAATATCAATGTTTTTAAGTTGTGTTTCAGTATGCAAAAGTCCAGAGAAGCTGAGGTAATTAATCTGCGTTGATTGGATCCTTCTTATGTTATCTGCGAAATTGTTCGTCTTTACGGCATATACTACGCTGGTGCTATTCAATGTTGCAGCCACAATTTATTCATTATTATTTTATTCATGGGAATTTTACGGATCACTCACGATATGTGATATTCCTACTCATACATCAATCGAGTAATTTCAGTCTGTTTATACTATGATGAATCAATAAATTGAATACATTTTATTTATTGAAACACTTGGAATTATTTGTATATAAATGCACTGAATATATATTAATAATTAATGAATAGAGGGTACGGGAGGACCAAAATCGTACTGGTACGGTAGATTTTTCCGTACCAGTACAATACCTGTACAATGTACGTACACAGTGCATGTACGGCAATGTACTGGTACACTACTAGCACGGAACCAGTACTGCGTACCCACCATAATTAAAAGTCTATGGTACGGGGCCGCCACAGAAGCCGTACGGCGTACCAGTACGGTGTACTGGTAAGGTACGGTCACAGTACGCACGTACGGGACCAGTACGATACCGCCACCTATCAGTACGCCGTGCGCTCACAGTACCTGTACCGTACCGGATTTTGGCTTACTGGGTATACAATTCTAACTTGAAAACTCTTCTTTACCCCAAAAACCATACTCTGTGGCGTCACTACCGGATGGCGCTCCTTTCGCATTCTCATTTGACAATTTTTCCGTTTGACAATTTTTTCTTACGTCCACTTCTCTGCTTGGGAAAGAGTCCACATGGTGAATAAAAATGTACTTACCATGTTCCTCGTGTGGGCCCTCGGCGATGGTCTCCACCAACTCTCTCGATCGTTGCAGATGTTCTTGGGGATGTCGTCGCAGTGGCTGCTCAGGTCCAACTCTCTCGTAAAACTGCGTTTAACCGGCGGATGTTCTCAGCTGGGTGGTGCGACCGGCACGCCGCCTAGCTGCCGCTGGGGCGGGCTCATGTAAACGAGCACGTGGGGATTTCGATTCAAATGGGTTTTAGACTTATTTAGGCATTTCGCCGTTAATTATACTTTTTATGAATTAACCCAAGGGGTTTTTATCCATAATGACTGAACGTTAGTTATCTGGAGGTTCGGAAAGGGGGAATTAAGGCAGTTGTTCGCCTTTTTCCTCGCGAATGCACTTTACACCTGAGTGAGTGCACTTTTTCGCTGCTGTCACTCTCCCGGGAGTCATCCTGGAGTCACCGTGAACAAATGTAAAGAGAGAATAGCCCATATCGATCCATGCAGACGAGTGGGCTGTGTTCATCCACATCGCCTTCCAGCTGCCCTGGTGAATCCAATGATTCCACGAAGCGCCTTAGCCAGGGAGCGTGAGTATTTGACCTCAACCTCTGTAATCAGCAGCCTGCACTCAACTAGATCAGCGAGATCTCACCGGGAAGCTCGGTTTATCGGCTCTGAACCATGGTGGATCGTCGTCCCTCTCAGGATCCGCGAGATTTCAATAAGAAAAATATAACTAGGAAAATACAATTTACTGTAAATTTGTCCTCAACCGTAAAACCGAAAATTAATCCCCTAAAATCCGAAATAAACCAGAAAAATAACTGAAACTAAGAGAGAACAAAAACTTTAATATTACTTGCACCGGAGATTTTACTTTTTATTCGTTTTTAATGTATAACGAGACGTGAATTTAATTATTTATTGAAATTGAACGTTGTTTTCCCCGCGAGGCCCTTCCTGATGTTCTTGGAGGCCGGTTTCTGCGAGGTGGGGCTGGAGCTAAAGGGGTGTTGCATCGCCCTTCGGTAGGGGTGCGAACTTTTTGGGGTTAAAGAAATCGCGACTCTCTCTCAGAAAAGATCAAAATAATTTCACACTTACCTACTCACTCTTAGGATTTACTTAATTCTACGACGAAGTTGTGTACAGGTGGCGGAATTCTCGAAAATTCCGTCACAAGTCGATTTCAGCCTTATTCATCGTTCTGCTTGCATACGNGTCAGAAGGAGTTAGGATTGAACCTTTCTCCCTCCCTCGACACTGTGACAATCAGCATTGAATAATTGAAAATAATAGCAATCAGATCGATGATCGGACTTAGATTTGAAGATCAACTCAAGTACTTGACTATTGAGTTTTCGCAGTGTATGTCCTTAACGGAAAATGTTTGTAAATAATGAAGGTACACTGTTCAAAATTTTCCCGTGAAAATGCCGGTAATAGTCTTGCAAATTTGTAATAACTAACATTGCAACAGAAATTTCAATAAATTTTGTTAATGAAAATTTATAATTTCATCGAGAAATTCATAGGAACTGGAGATTCCAGTTTAGTTATTTCAGGGAAATTGATGAAAAATCAGAAAAATTTAGAGAAATCTCCCCTTGAATTCCAGATTCCTCTGAATTTTCCGAGAATTCCTTCAAAATTTCCTTGTATTCTAAGAATTTCAAAACAATTGTCTGAAAATTCAAAAGAATATCGCAGTGAATATTCGCAGTCAAAAAATGGAACTTGACTTAAATTTTTCGAAACATTTGAAATTCCATTGACTGTTTCTCCTGAAATCGAATTCAATTTTTTTTCCGGAAAATTCAACAACATTTTTTCAATAGTCTATGAAAAGAATACAAAATATCAAATTATTTTATTTTTGACTGGGAATGACTTCGATTTGAAAAGTTTTTTCGACTGTTTACTCGCTAAACTGTAATTAACAAGAACGTTATTGATAAGTTGCACCCCCATTTGGCATAAAATGTAAAAAAAAATACTTTTAAAATTTAAAGGTAAACATTTTTCATTTGAACCATTATTCCCTATCTTTACCGACTTTGCTGCTAAATATATCAAAACGCGAAGATACCATCCACAAGGGCTAACTAATAGCATGCTTCACATGCTAAAAAACTTTTAAAACGAAACATGTGTATTTTCACATCTGAAACAATTTTTCATGAAAATTTTTTGTCCCATTAATAACCGTCTCCGTGATATCATCGTATAAACAATGAAGTAGTGATAAACAAATAGACCCTACCACAACGTGCAACAGTCGCCTTCGGATTTGGATTCAGAACCATCAACAACATAAATTTCAATGATAAAATTTACTGGACCGCGTAATGCATATAAAAATATGGTTAGAGGTATGCACTAGCTGATTTGAAATCAGTCCCATCCCGATGCCAAAAATGTCAGAAGCTTGTAGGATTCTGTATTTGGTTGTCAGTGCGTCGCTAATATTTGGCATGCCAATCCCAAGCCGGGGTTTGACTGGTTCAACTGCATTGGAAATTGTTGTGTGGAAGATTCCCTGCATGCAAAGGTAGATGTCGAATTAAAAAAAAAATCGCTCCCACGATATTAATCTAGATAACTAGACTGCTCCTTTTTTAACCGATAATATTAAAACTGCTGAGATATTATATGTGATAAAACTATGCAAATTCCTTTTGAACAAATAAATGAATACACGGGGGATTCATCGAGAACATGTTAATTTGGGCCATAGTAGCCCTAGTGGAAAAACATAAGGTGGAGTCTTAACATGCCTGATCAGAATTTCGGATCGGACTTGATCAGTTTCTGATCGAGACCTGGACAGAATTTCCACTCGGGAGGTTACAGCCACTTCAACATAGGCCTAACAATCGGCCTTATCATTGCATCGTTTCCATCATTCGTTGCGAGTGTCTAGAACTGGCTATTACCTTAAAGTTTTTCGTCAGAGTTTACTAATTTATAGAA